GGCCATCCTAACTGGTGTGAGGTGATATCTCATTGTGGTTTTAATTTGCATTTCTCTGATGATTAGTGATGTGGAGCATCTTTTCATGTCTGTTGGCCATCTGAATTTCTTCTTTGGAGAAGTGTCTGTTCAGCTCCTCTGCCCATTTTTTAATTGGCTTATTTGCTTTTTGTTTGTTGAGGTGCGTGAGCTCTTTATATAATTTCGATGTCAACCCTTATCGGATCTGTCATTTATGAATATATTCTCCCATACTCTAGGATGCCTTTTTGTTCTACTGATGGTGTCCTTTGCTGTACAGAAGCTTTTCAGCTTGATGTAGTCCCACTTGTTCATTTTTGCAACTAATGCATTTTTAAAAATCATTAATTTATGTTTTTGGACACATAAGTTACAAAGACGTAATTTTGTGACATTAGCAGCAGAGCTGTAAAGAGGCAGAGGTTTTGTGCGCTACTGAAGTTTAGCTGGCATAAATTCAAATCAGTGTTATGACTTCAGGATGTTGAGTATAATCCCCATGGTAACCACAAAGAAAATAGCTATAGAATATACACGAAAGGAATTTAAACATTTACTACAAAAAATCAACTAAACACAAAAAGAAGACAGTAATACAGGAAATCGGGGACAAAAAAAGCTCTAAGTCATATGAAAACAAACAGGACAACGAGAGAAGCAAGGCGTCCGTGTCAGTGAGCCTTAGGAGGCCAGCACATTCGGACACGTCACTGCCTGGATGAACCCTGAGGACATCATGGTAAGTGAAATAAACAAAAGACAAATACTGTGTGATTCCACTTATATAAGGTACTCAGAGGAGCCTAATCCACAACAGAAAATAGGACTGAGGTCACGCCAAGCTGGGGGAGGGGGACGGGGACAGAGTTTCTATTGTGTAAGACGAAAAGAGGCGCAGAGTGGATGGTGGTGACGGCTGCACAACATCGGGAACGTATTTGATACTATGGAGTGTATACTTAAAAAAACAGGTTAGGATGGTGAATTCTGCGCTATGTGTATTTCACCCCAAGAAAAGACTGAAAAAAAGATTTAACATAATAATCAAATGCAATGTGTGACCTTGATTGTACCTTAGCTCAAAAAATAACTGCTGTAAAAGGTGGTTTGGGGACAACTGGGTGCAGGTGAATGTGGACTGGGAAATAGAAGATAATTGTCCTCACTTCCCCATCCCCTCTTCTGGCCTGGCTCTTTGTATTGCACTAGAGCTGGGGGAGCATATCTCTGCCCCACTGACGGAGGGCATTGCCATGAGACTTGCTTCGGCCAGCACACCAGTAGATGCGAAATGAGTGAAGCCCTGAAACGTGCTTGTATGGCTGGCCTTCAGTTCTTGGGCTCTGATCATCCTCCATGAGAAGCTCATGCCAGGAAGGCTGCTGCTCCAAGGGCTGGCGGCCCCACCCAGGCCACCGGTGGTCTGGAACAGACCTGCCCAGCTAAGCCCAGCCTTGTCAGGCAAACCAGCTAACTTGCACACCTGTGACCATGAGATGAAATGCCTACTGCTGTTACGAGCTGCTGAGGTAAGGAGTGGTTTGTTATGTAACATCACTGCGGTACGGGCTGACTAGCTGGCCTGGTTATGAAAGACAATGATATAGTGCCTCCTATAGGGAAATATCCTTGTTTATTTGAGATGCATGCTTAAGCTTTATAAGGGTGGGTGTTGAGTATTATATTGTTAATTATATTTTAACACAATATATAAATTGTTAATTATATATATTGTTAATACTTTGAAGTGATCAGAACAAATAGACAGATAGATAAATAGGATGATAGATGGATAGGTTGATAGATAGGTACACTGATAGACTGATAGATGGACAGATAGATGGTGAGACACATAGATAGATGGATGAAGCAGTTGTGGTAAATGTTGACAATAATTGGATCCAGGTAGTGAGAATATGGATATTCATTGTACTATTCTTTCTGCTTTTCATTATGTTTGGGATTTTTCTTCATTAGAAAAAGAATCAGTTCTGCACAGCAAAGGGAACCATTAACAAAACAAAAAGGCAACCTATGGAATAGGAGAAAATATTTGCAAATCATATACCAAAAAGGGGTTAATGTCTAAAATATATAAAGAAATCATATAACACAACAGCAAAAACCCAAACAATCCAATTTAGAAATAGATCGGAAGACATTTCTCTGAGGAAGACAAACAGATGGCCAAGAGGCACATGAAAAGCTCCTAACGCCGCTGACCCCAGGAAATGGCAACCAGAACCAGTGAGACCCGCACACACGGTCAGCATGGCTCTTACCAAGACGACAAAAGGCACCAAGAGTCGGTGAGGACATGAGAAAGGGGCCCTTTCTGAACTTACAGAGCACTTCTTTGCTGAGCATTTCAGTGGAATGGAAAAGCCGCCCGTCTGCGCCAGAAAGGAGACGTTTCCTTCCAGATCCTTGTTTATCTAAAAAATGAAACACCCCAACCACCTCAGACATCACTCGAACTGTCACGCACACCATGTCTGTGCAACCGCAGCCGGGCCCAGGCCCACCAGCTCCAGGGAACCCAGAGCAAGGGGTCGCACCCTGGCCAGGGCCTGCTAGCACCTCCTCACACACCCCACTCAGGCCTAGAGGCACAAGCAGGTGGTCCCTGCTAGCCAGGGTGCCAGAGGGTGGCTGTGTGATTCTGCCAGCATTTCAGGAATATGTTGAATAGGTTTTGGAAGGAGCACAACAGCGCTCTTGGTGACCCTGCTGAGCGTGGGCGGGTCCTTCCTCCATGGGAGACAGCAGACACCCCAGCTCTGCCCACCACCCTCGTGACGGGGTGAGCAAAATCCCTTCCCGTCGTTTGGCTGTGACCCTGAGACACTCACCATGGGCTTGAAGGTGACAAGCACTTCGCAGGACATCCCAGCTGACATGGGACCAGGGGGGTCAAAGCTGCAGATGCAACGGCCAACAGCACAAGTGGTCAGAACACACGGAGCAGAGCGCGCTCTGCACTACATGAGTGGCAGTCAGGCTGGGATGGATGGTGCAGAACAGCCGCTGCCTTGGGCTGCCTGCCCTGGACGCTGAGCCCCCGCCCCACAGAACCCCATTCACAGGAGTTGCTCAAGTAGCATGTGACCACCTATCGAGTGACTCCCAGGGCCGAGCCTGGAGGGGACAGGTGCTGTGGGCGGCACCGCACGGCTCCCCAGGGGACATGCGCCCTGCCCGGGACCGAGGATCTAAGGCCTTGATGCCAGTGTGAGGGGTGTGAGCCAGGCAGGGAGGTGGCACTCATCTCCACTTTCAGTGAAAGACCCAGAGAAGGAGCCCTAACTTCACAGGGAGACTTGAAGGGAGCCCATCTCTCCTGGTCTGGATCCTGGGTGCAGGAAAGCAGCTCTCCACAGAATTTCTAACATCATGTTTGTTTTCAAAAGGTAGGATTTTACCTAATGTGCTTTGATTAGAAATATACATGCTAAAATTTCACAAAAATTTGTCCCTGGCTGGTAATGTACCCATGACACCAGGCAGAAGCGAATCCCAAACTTCTGTGATGGGGAGAGAAGCTTCTGAAGCCAGAGGACACAGACTCCCCGAGGACGGAGCCCCACCGGGAGAAGATGGACCCCAGGTGCGGAAGTGTGTACGTGAAGCAGACGCGTGCCTGCAAGGAGCAGGCCGAACTCCCAGACCCTCAGGCAGCAGGAAAACTGAATTCAGATCTTTAGAACATGTGAAGGTGAGGAGATCGGAGACATGACAGAGGGTAGCCAGCTAGTCTCAGAGGGGACCTGGAACTGTTAGAAATGAGAAATAGGGCCACTGAAATCAGCCTCAAGGAGCAATTTCAACACCTACTTGGAGACACCCAAGAGGCAGGGCACCGAGGGAGGAGCTGGCTCCCCTGCAGCGAAGGAAAAGGCTCCGGGCAAGGGGCGGGCACAGGGAGGGGGGTACCTGGAGAGGCGGGACCAAGGGGTTCCCCAGATTGTTCAAAGACCCCAGTCCTCAGCCAGGACGCACTGGGAGCTCCGAGCAGGTCTGAGAAAGTGAACCCCCACCAGGCACGTGCTGGCAGGATCAGGGCACCAAAGACAATGAGATCCCAAGGCAGCCAGGAAGGGAGCTGGGAACGCACAAAGGAGTAGAGTTTGCCCTGAAGGCTGGCTTCTCAGCCGCAGCAGAGACCGGAAGACAGGAATGAAAACCCGCCCAAGTACGAAGGGCCCTGCATAGAGACCCTGCTCCCCCAGTATGACAGAAGCAGTTGCTCTCAAACTGGGAATTTCAGAGTCACCTTAGATCTCCAAGGACATCAACGCTGGCAGAAACCAGGAAGTAGAAAAGAAAATATTCTTTCAAAATGCAGGCAAAATGCTAAGGATCAGAGGAAAAGGGAGATGCCGCAAAAGATACAATAATGGTCATGGAATAATGGAGAAAAATAAAATGGTTAAGAAGAAAGCACTAAGGGGGCCAGAGAGGAAATTATAGACATAAAAGGAGATCCCACTCAAGCATCAGCGGGGGTCTCAATGGAGAAAAGGACCCGCAGGAGTCGAGCAGTTTGAACACAGTTCAGGGAGCTGCCCTGGCAGCAGCGTTGGTCTCCACTTCCTGCCGAGAGGCGCATGCTGCCAGGGAACCCCTTCCCGTAGTGGGACATTGATATGCAAGGGGGAAAACTCGGGCTGCTCTCGGGCAGATCCAGCACAAACACACAGATGCCTCGTGAAGACCTGGGCTGAAGGTTTCACGCCTGAAGCTCTGCAGCAGAGGCTGTGGGCAGACCGTGGGGCCTTCTACTTACTCGATGTGGACGAAGTCCTTGAGATGCTCCTCCACACCCACCAGCTTGCAGTAGTTAATCGTGTAGGTTGCGTTTACCAACCTGATCTTTTTCTTATACACTTTGCCAATGTCAAAATCCTAGAAAAATCAGAGACATCATTACTCAAAGCTTTCCTGTGGCTGCTGCAGCACAGGTGAGGGGAGCAAGCCGTGACCATAACTGCCTCTCCTGACAGGCTGTAGCCAGACGGTGAGCTGGTGAGGACGATCAGGAAGGCTGAGATCACAAAGCGAGGCATCCTGGAGAGGCCTGCCCATGCAGGCACGTGGAGAGCAGGGCCAGGGCACAGGAGGCGGCTGTCAGGGAGCCTCTGACCACACGGACTTGGAGCTGGTGCCCACTCCGCAGGACGGACCGCAGCTCGCGTGGCTAGTCCCCTCTCCCCGCAGTCTGGTGACCGTGACTCTGGAGCACAGCCGCCTGCCCACCTGGGCTCCAGTGCCCCTCAAAGCATGTCCCTTGGGGAGGCCCTCAGCTGGCTGTCCCCGGGGACAAGTGTCCTCCTACAGTGGGTGTCCAGCCCCCGTGGGACCCTCAGCGCTAGGTGAGGACAGTGGTGGGCAGACCCCGCAGGCTCACCTTGAAGTGGATGAGCTTGGGTTTGCTGTGGAAGGGCTGACCCTTGAATGCATGCCCAGACGCCACCTGCTTGTGGACTATCCTGCTGGTCAGCTGCTCCACGGTGCAGGCCAGGATATCCTTGTCCACCTTTGTCCCACGCACAGGTTTTTGGTCCATGTCCTCTTTGGGCACCTGGGGTTTCGCGGGGACAGTGGGCACTGGAGAGCAGGCCTGGGCAGGCGAGGAACTGTACTCTGCAGCCAAGGGCAGCATGGGGTGGCAGAGGGGGCGGCACGGAGCAGCAGGCTCAGGGGCCGGTGAGGGGGACCGGGCCTCCACAGGACACAGGCAGCCCTGGCATTAGCAAGGCAGGCGGTTTTTATTCAGAGAAAGATAACATGAGAAGAGACAGACTGCCAGGATCCCAGCAGGTTCCTGGGAAATAGCCGCAGAGGAGGAATTTTCTAGATTTTCAAATCAGGCCAAGGGAAAGCTTTTAAAAGTTCTACAGGAAGCGACATTTTCTCAAGTGGCACAAATGAAGGTGCTTCCCTGGCTGACCCTGGAATGTAGGAAAGGGGATCTGTCTAGGGCATGGCTCTGGGGCAGCACACGCTGGCGCCCTCCTGCCTCGCCCTGGGTGGAGGCTGGCCTGGTAAGCCTGCCCTTTCCGGTGGAGGCCCAAGGCTGCCAGGCTTCTCAGAGCCACATGGCTTTTCCTGTCTAGCACCGGGGCCCACTTTGTAAGCATACCAAGGGCAGGTGATGCCCTCTCAGCTGGATGCGTGGCCGTGGCTGCCGGGGCGCCAGGGCAGGGACAGACGCATGGGGTGCTGGGGACACCCGCTGCCTTCTCGGCTTGTGGCCTTGCGCCTGCCCTTCTACACAGGACCACCAGGCCTCTGGAGCGCATGTTTCTTGAAAAAGGCTGCCAGAGTTTGAACTCTCGCATTTTTCTAGAAACACGACTCCCCGATAGTAAGCAGGACAATGAGGAATCGTTCCCCCACCCTTGGGCCCAGTGACCAGGAGCAAGGGTGGCCGGGAACGCTTGGGCTTGCTGTCCTGCCACATGGCTTCGCAGGGCGGCTCTGTGAGGGAGAAGGGAGGGTGGTTTGGAGGAGGGAGGCTGCCGGGCTGCAGGGAGGTGGGGAGTGTGCGGGGCAGCCATGCTGGGAGAGCCTCAGGCGGCCAGGGACAGGGACACAGCGGGACACGGAGGCAGATGAGAAGACAGGGCCTGGGGTCCGCTGGGGAGGTTCTAACCCTTGGAAGCGGTACCTGGTACGAACTACAGTCTTCACTCCAAAGCCCGGGGATTTCCGGCTCCGCCAGCGTGCTGCTCTCGCTGGTGAGGTTCCCGGGGCCCCCCTGGACTGACTCACTGGATATGGCTTCCACAAGCCGAGAGGTTCTGGGATGTGCGGGGCTGCCGATCTCCTGCAGCTGCTGACGGGAAACAGGGAACACACAGTCAGCTCCAAAGAACAGAATAAGAGGACCCCGCAGGGCACACAGCCATCCACAGCTGACACTGTTCTCACAGAGCTCCTCTTCCCCTGGAGACTAAGGCACATTCTGTTTTGTAACTTTTTCCATCTAAAATGTGTCTTTACGCATCCCTAAATAGCTTCCTCCAATGCTCACAAAACAGTCCACAAAAATGCCCAACTTCCAATTCCATGTGCCTGAGCCACGCCCTGGAAAGCCCTCGGTGGTGAATACCTGGAGGACACCGGCGCTGGCACTGGGCTCGCTGGCCTGCTCTTTTGTACAGAGCACCGGCTCCATGCCAGGCATGGGGACACCATGAGGAGCCAGCTAGACTCCAGAGGGCATCAGACAAGGAACAAGCCTGCTGATGGAGGGGGCACAGCTGCACTGTGAGACAGGCCCCCGCGGGGGTGCAGGGAAGGTGCCCAAGATGGGAAGGTGGGTGAGGGGAGGAGCCCTGAGGTGCTTGTGAGCCCAGGACAAAGGGCGTGGGCTGGGGAACAGGTGGGGACCAGAATGCGCGGAGCCGAGGCCAAAAGTGAGGAAGCTCCTAGGGGCCAGTGACCTTGACCTTCGGGTTTTGGGGAGCACAGGGCAGAAGCAGAGGTGCAGTGCTGGGCTCAGGAGGGGTCCTGATGTCCCTACCCCACACTCTCAGGGGCAGGTAAACTGGCCTTTGGTCACTGGCCTGGCTGTCACTTGGGCATGGTGAAGGTAGCCTGAGCCAACCTCAGTGCCATGGCTGCACACTTACTTCCCTGCTGGCAGTGGCGTCCCCAGGGCCTGGCTCCACTGGCAGATGAGGCTCTGGGGACCTGTGCCACCTGTCATCTGGGAGAGGACTGCTGCTGGGTGGACCCCGTGTGACCTGCCACCTGCACTGCCCTGGGTCCCTCACGCTGGATTCTAGACAATGCACACCCAGCCCTAGAGCTACCTGAAGACTTGCTGACTGGGTGATGGGAGGCTGCGTCCCACCTTGGTGGGCAGTTTCTGTGTGACTTCAGTGGGAGAGGGAGGTACAGTGCTCCAGGCCCCGGGCACCCTGAGACCCACACGCCTGACCCAAGGGACATCTTGCTTACCAGTGGGCAGCAGGGCATGGCTGCCGTGGCCTTCCCTTCGCAGACGTGGGCCACGTAGCTCCAGGCCTTGTCCCTCAGCGTTAATCGAGCTGTGGCTTTGGCAGGGGGACATGCTTTCTTCTTCCTGGCATCCTCCTTGGCCTCCTCCTTCAAAATCCGACTTACAATCTCCTGCTTTCGGAGCCTCTGCTCCTCCTCAAATGCACTGTGGGGACATGCCACCAGCTGAGAGCAGCCCCAGCCACCTGCAGCCCAGGAAAGCCTGTGGGCGGGAGCCTGTGCCCAGGAGTGGGCATGGGTGTAGGAACAGATTGGTCCTGTGTGAGCCCCAGGCTCACGTGCGAGCTGGCAGAGGGGCCCAGGGGTACTGCCAAGCTGGAGACTCAGGCCTGCACCTCCTGCCAGCCCCCATGGTAGACCTTGACCCCTCGAGTGCAGCCCTGCTCCTGGTGTCCAGGCTGGCAACTGGGGCAGCCCAGGTGAGGGCTTCAGGCACCTTCAGGGCCTGGGGCTGCCTGCTCCTTCCCTACCCCAGCTGCTCCTGGCTGGCGTCTGGCCGGGCTAAGGGACTGGAGGTAGGTGGAGCAGCCCTGCAGCACCCCAGGGGGGGCAGCACCCCAACGTAGTGCTGACACACAGAGCCCTGTGAGCTGCGGCCGAGAGACACCGTCCCCAGAGGGCCAGGGCCACACCTGGCAGATCCGAACGTGAGCACAATCAGGGACGGCTGGGGGGCCCTCCAGGCAGGGAGAGCTTCAGAAAAAGGCACCAAGGACACAGAAATAACCAGCACATCACGGGCTACACTGGAAAAGCAGAGAACTGAGGCGGAGGGAAGCCATTCCTGTGGGGACTGGGTAGGACTGGGGCAACCTTCATCCCTCAAGGTAGGGTGCAGCCCAGGAGAGTGTATGGGGACCTTGAAGGACTGAGGGGGGTCTCAGGGTGAAAGATGGGCTGCAGGTACACTGAGCACCTGCTCGGGGAGCCCACGGGGCAGCAGGTTAAGGATGAGCCCAGCAGCCGCAACTCCCCCACACAAGGTGGGGAGGGTGGCTTAGGGCAGCAGGAGACCCTGGAGACAGAGCGGGCAGCCTCTGGGCCCCAAGGCTGCCCTGAGATGCCAGGTCATGAACCCAGGGGCCACTCGGGGGCAGGAGGAACTGTGCTCTGAGGCCCAGGCCAGCTGCTGGGGTCTGAACAGCAGCAGTGAAGAGAGGCACTGGGCAGAAACAGGGCAGGCCTGAAGTCCCCCCACCCCCGCACCCTGCTGCTTGTCCTTGGGCGGGACCCTGCAGCTGCCACTTTGCTAGCTGTGGAGAGCACCCCGGTGCTGCCTCGGCCTCACCGGTTCTGGGCTTCCAGCTCCTGATACCGGCGTTGGTGGAAAAGGTGCTTGAAAGCGTCCCTCCCTTGGGCCAGAATCTCCGCCTTCTCCACCTGGGCCCTCTGCTCAGCCAGTGCTGCCTTGGCCTGGCCCCAAGCTTGAAATTTCCGCAGCGTTTCCTGGGAACAGAGAACACTGAGTATGCAGCACTAGTGCACTGTGCACGCGCATACCTGCACACACGCACGCCTGCACACACGCACAGGAGCACCAGAGCTCTGTTCAGTGGGCGTCCTTAAATCAGTGCTGCGTGGCCTGAGTACTGCCGGCAGAAACTACCCTCACCATCCCCACATCCTCCCTCCGTAAAGTCCTCGGGGCTCCAGGGGACTGGGAACCATCTCCGGCCGGGCGGCCGCCAGCCCCAGCTCCCTCCAGGGCCCTGCCCACCGGGCTTTCTGCCGAGAGGCTTTGCCTGGCCTCTGAGGCCTGCAGATGCTGCTCCCCCTCTTCCCCTGCTGCTTTCCTGGACAAACTGCTGAACCCTCAGGCCCTAGCGGGGGTCATTACCCCTCCTAAAGACAGGGCCCCGCTGTTTTCTTCCCACCCAATTTCTAGTGCCTGCCAAGTGTGGGCACAGACTGGTGGGCAAAAATCTGTGGTAGAAGCTGAGTAAGTTCCCAGGCAGTGACTAGGTGGTGATCTGAGGACACAAGACTTGCTCCCCCAGGACAGGAAGCTGAGTGGCATACAGGTGTGGACACTGACTAGAATGACAGCCTGCCAGTATGGACACCCGCCTGGATGGACGCCCCACCAGAATGGACTCCCTGCCTGGAAGGACACCCCACGAGGATGGACGCCCCACTTGGCTAGACATCCCGCCTGGATAGACACCCCATCTGGAAGGACACCCTGCCTGGATGCCCTGCCTGGGAGGACAGCCGCCTGGAAGTTCGGCCCACCTGGACAGGTTCCCAGAGGCAGGCTGGGCCAGGGTGTTGGGCAGGGAGGCCACCCTGGGGGCCGCTGTGGCGGCTGCACGGCCTACCCGGTTGGCGGCAATGCTCCCCTTGAGCGCCAGCACGGCCTCCATGCGCCGCTTCAGGTGCTCCAGGGACTCCTTCCTCCCCTTCTTCTCCTGCTCTCGAATCCTGGAGGAGGTCGTTTCTCAAGGGCAGTGTGGGCGTGTGACATGCAGTGACGGGGCTGCAAGGAGCCCTGTGCGCGTCTGGTGCCCAGGGAGGCCGCACAGGTGACACCAGGGCAGGCAGTGAGGAGCGCGATGCGAACATGGGCCCCGGACACGTCCTCTGAGACGCATTTCTCTAGGCTAGAGGCTCACTGCGTCTCACAGCCCCCTCTTCTGAGAATAAATAGGCAATCAGCTCAAAACTAAAAATACTAGTTTTTGATGATAAAGTATTATTTTTAGATGAGGAAGTGATGGTATAATAATGAACTCTGGGCATTTCACAGCAAAAGCAAGGGAGCTACATGCCTAGATTTCTCCTCGGGCACACGGGCAGGATGAGTCTGTGGCAGAAGACGCACCTGCCTAGGGAGGCCTTGAGGAGCTTCACCGCGACCTTGTGATTCTTCTGGGCATCTTCCACCAGCCTCTGGTGCCGGACCCCGTGCTCCTTCTGGAGGTGCATGGACCTCCTGCAGGGGTGGGGCAGGGACAGGAAGGCAGGGAGTGTAGGGACAGGCACCCTAAGCAACCAGGCTCGTGGCCAAGGGGCAGGAGGGGGTGCAGGCGGGGCTGGTGCCAAGCAGGACCGGGAGAAGTGGGTGAGGGGTGGTGTGGGAGTGGGGGCCCTGCACTGCCCTGGAGGCTGGGAGGAGGGCCCTGTGTGTCCAGACCTGGATCCCACAGAGGCGGCAGGAAGAGCTGGCCAAGGGCTGGACGAGGCTGGGAGCGGGGGACAGGGGCAGGGCAATGAGACAGGGGTGGGAATGGAGAGTGAGGGGCAGGGGCGGGGGCTCCCCTCAGTGGCAGTGCAGGTGCCACTGGCCTGCTCCCAGAACGTGCAGGGGACTGAGTTGCAGGTGGGATGTGTGTCCAGGAGGACAAGCAGATGCAAGATCAGCAGGGCTGGGGCCAGGGGCCTGGGTGGGACACAGATGGGCTGGAGGGGCCACGGTTCTGGGGGAGAGGCCGCTGGTCGGAGGAAGAGGCAAGGCCAGGGCCTCCGTGCCCCTACCTGACCCTCAGCAGCCGGTTCCTCTCCGCCTTCGCCAAAGCCTCCTCCTCCCTGCGCCTGGCCGCCTGCACCTGCAAGCACCTCCTGGCAGATGTCGCCTCCTCCTGGGCACGTTTCCGGACGCCTTCAAGCCGCCCCTCCTGGATCTCAATATGCCACATGGTGCTCCTTGTAGACAAGAAGCACTTCTGTCGGCAAAGGTGCTGGGGACCTGGCTGCCCCTCCATGAAGTGTCCTCTCCAGGCATCTGGGGAGGACCCGGGAGTCGCGGAGCCCCCTGGGCCTGCAGAGACCAGGCTCTCCCTGGCCCACAGCACCGTGGAGCCGCCAAAACAAGTCCAGCTGGCCAGACGCGGTCCCTCCCCTCCTGGGTGTCCACAGGCACCCCCTGCACCTGCCCGCAGACATGGGCCCCTGAAACATGCCCGAGGAGGCGCTACCTTTAAAAGGGGCACCCTGGGGTGCTGGGAAGGTACTTGGGTGGGGGGAGGTGGCTAGGGCCACGATGGGCAGCAGGGGCCTGTGGCAGGGTGACTGACTGCAGGGTCCCTCGGCCTGAAGAAGATGAGGGCCCCCCTGAAGCCCCACCCTCTCTGAATAGCCAGTGTGGTTGGTCAGGGAGAGAGGATGATACAGAGATGGAGGAAGGGCATGGATCAGGGATGAGGCACCCAGAAACCGGAAGGGGCTGGACAAGGATCCATCGGCCACCTGGCCAGCACCTAGATTCCAGTGCAGGAGCCCTGCGCCAGGCTCTGGCCTCCAGGACATTGGATGACAGACATGTGTTGGGTGGGGCCACTGGGCTGGAGGTGATTTCTCATTGTGATGACTGTGGGAGCTCAAGGTCCCGGACACGTCCAAAGCTAACCAAGTGGCAGAGCCTCTGGCTGGGTACCGCCTGCTTGGCCCACACTGTCCTCTATGGACCCAGTTGTGGGCCACATTTGTGTCCTCCCATCACCATGGAAACGGAGGTTCAGCATTGAATCCTGACTGCTTGGAACAGCACTTGGCATGCAGCAGGCGCCTCACTACTGTATGAATGAGTGAGTGGCTCCATCTGAGCCACAAGTTTGCCTGCCTGGAAGCCCCCAGAATGAGACCCCCATGGGAGGCCCCAGGGATCCATGAGTTCTGCCTCCCTCAATCATGCCTTGGCCTCATGGGCCTGTGATAATGGGCATGCACAGACGGTGGCCAGGGGGCAAGGGGCGCACGGCAGGGCTCCTGAGAGCAGACTTCTGTGAGGGCACCTGGTTGGCGCACTGTGGAGGCAGGACCCCTGGGAACTCAGGGTAGCACCAGGGTTTGGCTGCTGGGGCAGGCTTGGAAAGAGTGGCCTAGGGGGTAGTAGCATGGCTCAGGGAGGCGTTGAGTGGCTGACGGGTCCAGAGCGTGAGGACAACAGTGAGGACAACAGGCCCCAGCAGGATCGATGCCACAGCCTGAGGCAGGAGACGGGAGCCCTGCTCGACTGCCGCTCGGCCCTGCCCTCCCCAAACCGGCCTGGCCACAGCCACCACAGGAGAGCAGAGGTGGGCCAAGCCCCCCGTCGGCACACCTCCGCCAGGACCCAGATGGCGCTCTGCTGTGACGGGAGCAGCCGCTCCTGCTCCTGGAAGCACCCTTCCCTGGACACAGGGGACCCCCTGCCACGCGTCCCCACCCACCATCAGCGCAGCTGTGTGGGGAATGGCCTGTCTGAGATTCAGGAGGCAGGGAGCCAGTCCCCAAGATGATCCCATGACCCCACCTCCTGTATTCACAGCCTGGGTGGTCAGCTCCCACCTGCTATCAGGTCCATCATGCAGCAGACGTGATGTCATTTCCCAGGTGACACTAGGGCACTGCACCATTCCCCCCACCAGGATGGCTCACGGGGTGGGTGGGGCTGGCCCCTCACAGAGGCCTGGTCCCGTAGGCACCAGCCGGGGGTCCAGTGAGCCTTCGGGTGGCACCTCCACGGCTGACATCCTGACAACAACCTCACAAGAGACCCCGAGCCAGACCCCTACCTTTACTGCTCCTGGCTTCCTGACCAGCTAGGAAATGAACAAGATAGTAAACACTTGTCAGTTTAAGCTGCCGAATCTGGGGCGGTTTGGCACCAAGCAGCTGGGAGGGACTGGAGGCCACTGTGTGCTGTCTGCCAGCAGGGATGTGTCCCCACAGGGTGGCCCCATGGCTGGAATGTGCACAGCCTGGAGGTAGGAGGCCACCAACCAGCACGCCCTGGGTGCCACCACAGGACCAAGATGAAGTGGGGTGAGGTCGCTGTGCTGGCCGAGGCACTCTGAACAGTAAAGGGCAAGGGGGTGCTGGGGACTGCCTGGCACATGAAAAAAGAGAGACAGCAGGGGAGCAGACCTGGCCACAAAGCAGCTGCATGGATGCACACAAGGGCCACAGGTGCCAGCCAGAACTAGCCAACCCTACCCCACCTTCTGTGCCTTCCTGCCGCCAGTGCCCGGGCCGGTGGGGCTCGGGCCAGGCGCCCTGGGGATCAGGGCGGGAGGAGGCAGTGCAACCTGACCCACGGCAGGGACGCCCCCACCCTCAATCCCCTCCCCACCCTCTGTCCCCTGGTGGACGCTCCCGGGAGGGCTTGCCGTCTCCCAGGCACTCCTGGGCCACCCACACCCTTTGCCCAGCCCTTCTCTGCTTGAAGTAGCTAGAGGCATATCTGGTCTCCACAGCCAAAGCCCTGACCTGGAAAACACTCCACCTGCGCAACCTTTCCTGGGTGCATCCAGGAGAGCTGCGAAGGGCTTGTCAAGGTGGTGCAGGCTAGGGGAGCCCCGAGAAGGCAAGCGTGGATCTCCTCACACTGCTCATTCAAGGAGCCCCTTTTCCCGCCTCAGGCCACTTCAGAGTCAGGGGCAAAGCAGTGCATGGTTTCATCCTTCACCCCCGGACCAGGCGCACCCCACTTACTCGCTCTCACGGAGGGTGTCCGCCACCCGCGCCTGCAGACACTGCTCCTTCTCCAGCTCCACGCGCAGGCGTCCTGACAGGGCCTGGAGGCGGCCCACAGCTGCCCTGGTGCATGCAGGATCCAGGAGGAGAGACATGGGGGACAGCCGGTCAGAGCCTGTCACACAAGAGGGGGCTTGTCCTGCCCCACCGTGCCCCTTCAGCTGGGGGGCCTGCCGGCCATCTGGTCCCTGGCCTGCTGCGCTCCCTAGAATCAGCCCAGGTGTAAGGATCCTGCCGAGGTGCCTGTGTCTCTGCGGTGACTGGCCACGGGCCTCCTGAGGCCCTTGGCAGTCGGGAGGCTTCCTCTCCCGGGACAGCAGGGTCTGGTGCTGGCCTGACCCGCCATGGTCACTGGCGCTCTCTCCCGGCAGCAGCGGAGCGCATACGCTCAGAGCCCCAGCTCAGGGGGCTGGGACAAGCTTCTGTGTGTCCCTTCTCAGCACGGTGACCTGGGCGGGCCACCTAACGCCGAGTGCCTCAGAGGGCTGCTGGGAGGACGAGGGCTGATGTGCGCACACATGGCCTGGCTCGTGGGGAGGACTCGGTACAGTCTGCAAACGCCTGTCCTGGCCACCCTCCGGTGGTGGGGGCTGCTGGGCCACGTTCAGTAGCCACATGGTCATCCGACCTCTCACCACCCAGCCCTGGCCCCTTCCCCTAACTGTGACGTTCCGGGTGTCCCCACACTGCCCCTGCGTGCTGGCCTCTCCTAGGCAGTGGTCTCACTTCCCAGAAAGTTCTTTCAGGGCACGGCAGGAGGCTCGCCTTAGTCACCCGGGTCCCAGCCTGGGGGTCACTCCTCAGGAAGGCCTCCTCAGCCACCTGCCTCAAAATGACCACCCTCACCCTCATGGCCACCAGCCTTCTTGTCCATTCTGGGGGGTGTCTGTTACTCATGGCCATGACCATGTGGGTCCAGGTCACCCTCTGCGCCCCAGCTCCCTGCCCTGCCGCGCCAGCCTACGTGTTGGTGGCCTCTCTCTCCGTGGCCACCCGGGCTGCCACGCTGTCTTGCTGATCGGTGAGAAGGCCCACCCTCTGGCGGCAGGCACGCAGCTCCTCTCTGTGGGTGAAGGCGGTCGGGATAAGCGGCTCCCTGAAATCCAGGCCTCTGCTTCCCTCCCCAGTCAACCCCCCTCACCCCCACCCCCTACTCCCGCTCCCCACCTCCGCCCCCTTAGCCCCTCGCCCCCATCCTCACCTGGTTTTCTCTATGAAGAGGTCTTTCTCTCTGTGCAGCTTCTCCAGGTGGTCCAAGGTCCTCCGCAGGTGGAGCACCTGGATTCTGTCTCGGGCGGCTGATTTCTCCTCCCTTTTGTCAGCATCGGTGGCGCTGTGCCCTTTCTCTGGACTTAGCACAGGAAGGACACCAGGGGCCCCTGTGGCCAGCTGGTCCTGCCTGATCTGCGCCCCCTGCTCCTTCCGCTGAGGATGCCCAGGCTGGGGGAGGGAGCACGCGCCCGTCCAGACAGTTACCGGCTGCATCTCACATGCGGCTCATCCTCAGCTTCTGGCGGAGGAGACACCACCTCAAACCCGGGATCCTCTAGCTTGTCTCTTTCTAGAAATCAAGGCAAGGGTCAAAAGCAAACAGCAGCTCAAGACATCCAGTTCTGGGGCACGTGGATAAACCCGGACAAGCTCAGCTCCACAGGCTGCAGCAGTGAAGAGCAATGGTTCCCAAAGTGGGGTCCAGGGAGCCCAGGGGCCCCTTAAACTCCTCCAGGGGGTCTGCAAAGTCAGGCTCTTTTCAAAATTCGAAAATGTTTTTTTTTCAATCTCATTTCAGGAGTGTACAGTTGAGTTTCCCAGAGGCCACATGACATGTGTGGTATCACAACAGACCTATGCAGATGTACATATGAAAGTCCCAGGGTCTTCTGTTAAACCAAACTCTTTCTGTTACATATAAGAGGTCAGTTATTATAATGTTAAGTGGACAAACATGTGTACAATTTTTTCCAGCTTTAATTTTACAGTGTAAGCAAGATAAGTAGAAGCCCTTTGTGGCTTCCACAGCTGTTAAGAGTGTAAGAGGTCTCCGGCAGAGTTTGACAGCCACTGCAGACTCCACCAGAGCACGGCAGGCTTTATCTCCACTCATACCCTAAATTTCAGTAAGATTGGCTGGGAGGGAATTCGAAAAGGCATCTAGGTACACTCAGGAAGAGAGGGGGTGGGAAGGCACTGATAAGGGGTAATGACAGTTTCAGGAGATGGCGAGTTCACAGGCAGGTGGTCCACACCACTGGCTAGAATAGGGTTGTGTGGGCGGGTGGGGGTCCAGGGACGTCTGCATCTAGACCAGCCTGCCCTGCTGGTGCCCAGCACTAGCCTGAAGCAAGGCCCATCTTTGGAAAAATTCAGATCATCAGAGATTTTTTTTTTTTTAAAGCTTCCAAGAAAAGAAAACAAAAATAGGTCACATTCAAAGGACTGGGATAAAAACGGCATCAGATTTCTCAATAGAGATATATTGGAAACTAGAAAACTATGGTCTGTCATGTTCAAAATCCTCAGCCATAATTTATCTTTCAACCAAAGACAGAATAATATGGTCTCTCTTTTTGAGAAAAAAATGAGTTGAAAAGATATACCCTCCTGGAAAAAGGGAGTTAAAGGGTGACCACAAAGCCCATCGCTCATCTTCCTTGCTGCTAAAACACATATTATTTGTGAAAAGACTTTTATTACCAGTTTCCACGAGTGGGACACTGTCCAGAGCCTCCACCTTAGCCAACAGGCCTGCATCCTCTTCCATCTTGGGAAGCAGAAATTAGCTACAAAAAAAATCATTACAAAATACGGATGAACAAGATCATATACTTTTTTCAAAAAAAAATTGGATTTCATAAGAATGAACAATTGCTTGTGTAAAAAGACATTAAGAAAATTAATAGATAAGCCACAGATCAGGAAAAAACATCTGCAGCTCATATATCTAACAAAAGGTATCCAGAATACATACAGAGCTCCTAAATACCAACCAATATAAAGTCCAAACACCCATTGAAAAGGGGCAACATTTTTAAAATAGACGTGACAGAAGAAGATACAAACGGCCAGGAAGCCTGTGAAATCTTATGCAGCTGCAGTCATTGGGGACATGCAAATCAAAACCATGAGATACCACTGTTCACCTATTAGAATGCCTAAAACCAAAAACAGTATAAATCATTGCACTAAATGTTATGAACATATACTTCCCATGTGACCCAGACATCCTACCTTGAGGTATTTACCCAAGAGAAAGAAAACTACGTCTACAGAAAAGCTTGTACAGGAGTGTTTATAGCAACTGTATACATACTAGTCACAGGCTGGAAATAACCTGGGTGCCCATCGCCGCCCACGCGCCCATGCAGTGGCGTCATGCTCAGTACGGCCTGATGGGTCTCAGAAACACTATGCTACATGCAGGAGGCCAGACACCACGGAGGGCATGTGAAACCCGCGTGTGGGGAAACCTAGTCACAGGGCTGGAAATCAGCTACGGGGGACTCTGGGTTACAAGCAGGGGATGGGGGCAGGGGGCAGGGGTAGAATTTTAAGACATCTTGTAAAATGCCAACCATATTCCTCCCACTGAAAAAATTCCATTAATCTCCTCGTCTGTGAACAGCAGGGCTGTCAGAACATATTTACAAGTGGCCACATTCGTTCTGCTCCATGCTCGTGAATTCCATGTGTTCATGCAACACAGTTTAACGGGCAGCCCAGTGTGTGGCAGTCTGCTGAGAGGTGGGACATTGGATGTGCAGTTCCATCTAAGACAATCACATTAAACCACGTACACTTCGAACAGCGTCCAGCTAAAGGCAGCAGCTCCAGGCAGGTGGCCTGTGGCCCCTCCTCAGGTCTCCCTGAGGCTGTGGAAGGTCTCCACTTTTTCAGCACATGAATCTGCAAGGACAGGGCAAATGGGAGAAGAAACAATCTGAGCAAGACGGAAGCCGGGATACGTGAGGTTGGGTGGGAACTGGCCGCACAGGCGGAGGACTCCCAGGCCTGAGCCGGAACCCCACACGCGTCACACGGCCCACGAAGACCCCAGACCCGGTCCCTCTGAGCGGGCGGAGGCAGGGTCAGAGGCAGATCTGCTGAAGCAAGCATAATAAGCAGCTGGAGCTCCATTTCAGTGCCAGCCATCACACTGAAAATAGTGAAAAACGCTGGAAAGAATTGTATTTTAATTGTCGTTAAGAAATAGGAAGAATTGACAAGAAAATAAGAAGTGAACAGATCAAAATCTAAGTGAAGGTAAGAATATAAACAGATTAAATGACTGAGCTAAAAAGAGTGTCTTATCAGACTGGATTAAAAGACCAATAAGGGCAACAGAGAAAATGTGACTACTGTTTAAAGGGACGTCTAACACACAAGCTTACAGAAATGCAGCATTTTAAAAGTCAGAAAAAGATGCGCTGGGTAGAAACTATATATAGGCAGCCGGCAGAGTCATCGAGAAACAAAGTGCTTTGGGCAAAAAGCAGTAAGAAAGGAAAGAGGGTCGCGACGTACGCAGATAAGCAGCTCCCCAGCAAGAGCCAGCAACACACAGGATAAGCCGATGATCGGCCGAACAAGGAGAAAGAGCGGGAAGTACAAACTCCAGCTGGAAATTTTAATACACCTCTGTCAGGAACCGATAACGAAGCCAGATAAAATAGGTCACCGACGACATACATTTTAACGTCATTAACAAAATGAACCTTATGGGGATATAGAGAACGTGAACAACAATCACAGGATTTAAAGTGCTCCCTTAAAGCAGACACACAGTATTTACAAAAGCTATGTACTGGGCCCAAAGCAGGTCTCAATACATTTTGAAGGACTAAAATCTTATAAAGTTTGTTCTTTGACCAAAAGAAATCAGCCCAAATGAATAACAAATAGAAAACCACAAAAGAAATAGAACTACGAACACAAATAGAGAACTTATTTTTGGAAAATGAGAGACATAGCTCTAAATGACCCATGAGTCAAAGAAAAAAATCACATGGAAATTATAAAGTATTTTGAACTGAGATGTAATGAAAATGGCATATGAATGTAGCTAACATAGCACAGAGCAAATCTGTAACCCTAAATGCGTATGTAAGGAAAGAGGGCAGGCTCAAAATTAATGTGCTGAACACCCAATTCGAAGAGTTTCAAAAAGCACTGCAAAATAAACACAAAATAAACAAAAGGGGGTTGAAGGAAGAAAATAAAACAGACGAGAAATTGGTGCAGTGAAAACAAACACATGATAGAGATGTCCCCCAAAGTCAAAAGTCCGTACTTTCAAAAGATTTAAAAAAATTGACAAATTTCTAATGAAACTGATACATCAAAGGAGCATCGGAACAAAAGGGTCCATGACCACAGGGGCTACAGACATGTAAAAATAAAAAATGTCATGAACTTTATGTCAATAAATTTTAAACACTACACAATGGACAAATCATATTACTAATCAAAATAGTTATAAGAAAAAAACAGAAAACTTGAAAAATCCCATAAGTATAAAATTCAACCAATACTCAAATACCATCCCCAGGAAAAAGACTGGAGGCTCAGAGGCTTCCCTGTCAGGTTCCATGAAACATTTGAGATACAAATGTTCCAATTTCACACACACTTTTCTGGAAGGGGCCCTCTGGGGCCTATTTCATGGAGTTCACTTAACTTCTGTTACCAAATCTTGGCAACAAAAGCACAGAAGGGAAAATTATAACCCAATTTCACTCCTGAGTGTAGGTAGAAAATCCAAAATGAGCCATTACCAGCCAAAACCCAGCAATATATAAGCAGGAAAACTTACGGCCAAGACAGGTATATTCAGACTTAGAAATCAATTTAATTCACCACATTAATAGACCAAAGGAAGACAATTATAAATAAATGCAGAAAAAAAGTATTAATGACATTCAATATCCCCATTATGCTTAAAAAAAAACTTAGCAAATTTGCCTTAGAAATGAACTTGTTTAATGTGATAAATAATCTATGCCAAAAATAATCTACAGGAAAGGTCATATTCACTCATAGACATTAACAGCATTACCCATAAGGCTGAGAGCTAAACAAGGATGCCCACCTCCACCCAGTGTTCAGCCAGAACGGTCAGGTGTAAAGAAATAGAAGGCATGCGGGGATGGGCGGGGGACAGTCCACGTTTTCAGACTGTATGTGTAGAAAATCCAGAGAATATACAGATAAATCACTAAGTTACTAAGACAATTTTGTAATGTCAGTAGATATAAATCCAATAATAAAAATCAGTTATAGTCCTATTTATCAGCACAAATAATGAGGAAATTATAATTGGAAAAGCCAGCACTTACAATTACATCAATAAATACGAAGCAGTTAAGAATAAATACAACAAAGGTTTCCAAGCTCCACGGAGAAACAGTGAGTGCCAGTGGCTGACATTAAAGAGGCCTCAAGAAACAGTAAATAGAAGAAATGACCCAGTTTCTTCAACAAATGGACATCGTGGAGGGAAAGGGGGGACTGTTTTAAATTAAAGAGCCTCAAGGTACGAGGCCACCTCTCACAACGTGGGGATCTTATTTGGATCCTGGGTTTGGCAACTATGAAGGGCACTTTTGAGATAATGTGGGAAAGCGGACACAAATTGATAGTAGATTTTATTAAGAAATTAATGTTAATTTTGTTTGGGGTTGATAACAATTTCGTGGTTATGCTAAAAATGAGTCTTTGTTAGAGTTGTATATTAAAGTATTTACAGGTGAAATATTAAACCTGGGGTTTTCTCTAAAATATATCAATGAAAACCAAAGTTAGGATGAGATAGGATGAAATACATGGATGCATATGCAGAGAGGATGGTCAAAGGGCATTCACACAGGGTGAACAACCACTGACGGGGGCTGTGGGCGCCTGGGAGTTCCTCTTATCATTTCTCCTACATTTGTGAGTCTGAAATTTTCCAATATTAAAGCGAGAAAAAAAGGAATAAAGCCAATACAAATAAGTAAATGGAGAGTTGTGTGTTCAAACTGGAGACTCACTGTGCTCAAGATGCCAATTCTCTCCGAACTACTCTAGAGACCCATCAAAACCACCACCAGACCCAGTAGGACATCTCAATCAACATGTGAGGCAACTGGGTTTCCACCCCAGAGTCGGTTCCACTACAGTGAAGGCGGGTGGTAGTGAGGCTTCACCACTTTAGGGTTTCTTAAACAAGACACCGAAAACATTAGCCACAAGAGGAAAAGTTAGCAGAGTCATGTGCATTTCCATTAAAAACTTTTGTTCAGATGACATCCTAAAGAGAGTTAAAGAAAAGCTGCCAAGCAGAAGATGGCAAATGCAACACAAACTACACAAAGGTTTACCATCAAGACCATGTCAGGAATATCTATGAATCACTAAAGATGATGGGCAGCCCAGGAGCGCACAGCAGGACTTCAACAGGCACTTTGCAATAAAGGACGTTCAAATGGCTGGTAAATGGGGTCGCCTCACGCCCAGTCTGTCAGCAGGCCCTGATTCATGTGGCTTTCCTGGCATTACAATAGTGCTCCCTTTAGCCCTGTCAGAGTCCTGGTTTGGATGACAAACTATTTCTTGGTAACAAGCCAAACTAAAGTTGTTCAACTTCATCTGTAATCAGGGAAATGCAAATCAAAACCACAATAAACTTGGTAAGACATCATGAGCCTGGCAATATTGGCTGCCGGCAAGGGCATGAAGTGGTGGGAACATGCACACACCAACGGTGGGCTGCGAGCTGGGGTAAATGCTTTGAAAAGAGGTGGCATCATCCGGTGCGGTTAAGACGTACGCAGTTTCCTGTTGCTGCTGTAACAGACAACCACAAACTCGGTGACTTAACACAAAATTGTTACCTCACAGTTCTGGAGGCCAGAAGTCTGAAATGGGTCTCACTGGGCTAAAGTCAAGGTGTCAGCAGGGTCCACCTTTCCTTCTGCAGGCTCTGGGGACCCATTTTCTTGATTTTCCCAGTTTCTAAAGGTGCCGCATTCCTTGGCTCACAGCCCCCTCCTGACATCTCCAAAGTCAACAATGTGAGGTGGGCCTTTCGCTTGCTGCTGGCCCCTCACCTGCCTCTCTTGCGTGCAAAAGGACCCTTGTGGCTGCACTGGGCACACGGGTAATCTGGGCTATCGCCCTCTCAAAGTCACTGACCAACACCCTAATTCCCCAGTGCCGACTACCCTAGCATATTTACAGGTTCCCAGGATGGGGCATGGGCATCTCTGGGGGCTGGCACTCTGCCTACTATGCTTGACTCAGTTCCTCTCCTCGCTGCACAGCCTACAGAGACTCCTATGCTGTAGAGCTCCCCAGGGCTGCCGTGCAAAGTCCCACGGGCTGCGTGTCTTGGGACCTCAGAAGTATGTTCTTTCACAGTTCTGGGGCTGGCCACCTGAAGTCGGGGTGCTGGCAGGGCCACACTCCCTCTGAAGCACGAGGGCAGGACATGGTCCAGGCCTCCCTCTGGGTTCCCGTAGATCCCTGGCCTGTGGCATGGGACTCTGATCTCCATGGGACATTCCCTCTGCACGCCTATGTCAAATTTCTCCCTTTCATGGCCCCCTCTCCTCTGGGATGGCTGCCCTCCTCCAGCATGACATCTTACCCGATTACATCCCCAGTAACCCTATTTCCAGATGAGGTCACGTTCTGGGGGGAGGACATCACTGTCAGGAGACACAATTCAGCTCATAACAGATATAAATGCCTGGGGACATGGCAAGACCCCATGGAGCAGCAGCTCTGCTAACTGCTCCCTACCATGAGTAGACACATGGTCACACTGCAGGGTGACACGGCAGCAGGCACGTGGCCCTGCGCAGTGAGGGACGAGCACACAGAGCTCATGCACTGCCGTTTTCTCCCTCTCTGCTACTTCCCCAGCAATGCCCCAGGCAGGCAGGTAGGCAGGACCCACGGAGGCCCAGACGCAGATGTCAGCACCTGCCTGGGGAGGGGATTCCTGGGGGGGTTGAGGCCGAGGGCTGGATGTCAGGGCCTGAGTGGGAGGAAGGCAGTCCCGCAAAGGGCAGTCCAGGGTGGGGTACCAGACCCCTAGCACGTGGAGTGGATGTCTACGGGGAAAGCCGCCCAGCTCAAGCTGGGGACATGGGGCAGGGGAGATGGCATAGTCACAAGCCTCAAAGTGCCTCCCAACAAAATGCTGTTCAATTGCAAAGGGAAAGTAGCATCCCAGTGGATATGCTGGCAGACACCATCTTAATCAGGTTGTCAAAACAGGCATCCTCAGTAATATGAGAAAGTGGCCACAGGGAGGAGCCACCTGACAGGATGGAGTGAGCAGGAAGGGGGTGCCTGGCCTCGACTTTCCTCCAGAGATGCAGAACGGGAATCTAATCTGAGGGAGCACCAGACAAATCCCAACGGAGGTGCTTTTTACAAAGCCACTGGCCTATAACCTTCAAAGACACCAGGGTCTTGGAAGCCAAGGAGGGGCTGAGGAATGTTCTGGCCTGTGGGACACTTCAGAAGGAACACAGGGCAACTCAGTGCCATGCGTGATCCCAGACTGCATCCTTTTCATGACTTTATGGAGCAACTGACAAAACACACTTGAGTGGGGCTGAGGATTAGATGTCGCGACGCGTCCCATTACTCTCCTGATACGTTGGAGAATGTTCTTGTGTAGGAAACACACTCTGACATAGTTGGAGGGGTGACAGAGAATCACGTGGACAACTTCGTGGCACATGCTGCAGGAGAATAAGGTTTATTTTGTCCTGAACTTGCAACTTTTATGTAAATGTGGGACTGTTTAAAAAGTTTAAAAAGAATATGTACAGTATTATTCCACCTGGGTAAAGTTTCAGACCACGTGAAAATTATATTATTTAGGGATTCATATACATAGGTGATAAAACTAATGGTAAGGAAATTAGGATCAGAGGAGTCCCGGGCCAGGGTGGGTGGGCTGCCTTAGGGGGCTCTGAGCAGGTGCTGTTTCCTGACTTGGGAGGTGGCCACGGGCGCCCGTACTCGGTGCGTGAGCTTGCGCGCTGCCCGCAGAGAACACCCAGCAGGAACCTCTGCGCCGTGGGCACCGGGGCGGCCCGCCCCCCTCCCGCAGCACCCGGCTGGCAGAGCATGTTTCGGCAGCGTGTCACAGGCCCGTAACTGTGAGCCGACCAAGAGGTGTATTTGATGATGGAAAACAAAGTAACAGAGGCCTACCCACTTCTAGACACAGGTCATCCACGTAAAAGCCCGGTTGGCGGGCCTCCCGGCCGGGCTCGCCCCTCTTTGTCCACTGTGCCCCGCAATGTGCCGCCGCCACGGAGCGCGCCGGGCGGGCAGCAGGCCGGGCCGGCGGCGAGGCCCGCAGCAGGGGCGTCGCCGGGGCATCGCGGCGCGGCCGAGCGGCCCGCTAGGGCGGGATTGGCGGCGGCGGTCACAGCCCCGAGCCCGGCGCGGCTGCGGACGCGCCGACCCACCTGTGAGCGGAGCCGAGCCGCCCCGGCGGGACGCGCACTGGGGCTCGGCCGCTGCAGCGCGACTGGCGCAGCGGCCCGACGGCAACGGGCGGCTCCACGGCAACGGGCGGCCGCATCCGGGTGCGTGCGCCGCGCCCCCCGCCCCCCTGGCGCCGCTCCGTCCCGCGTGCCCCGCGCAGGCGCAGTGGGGCCGCGGGGGGAGCCGGCGGGGCGCCGGGCCTGGCCGCCGCCCGGGTTTGGCCCAAGCCGGTCGAAGTTCGCAAGAGTCGCCAGCTTTGAGGAGTAGGAGAGTTCGTGTTAAATCGGGATTTCCCACCTGGCCTTTTAGGGTGGGAGACCTGCCGCCCTGCGCCGGGCCGGCGGGCGCTGACGCGGCCCCCCAGCCCTCCGGCCCCTCCACCCGGCCCGGGGCCGCCGGCGGGCTCCCCTTGCCCTTGCCCCTCCTGATGCCACCTGCCTGCCCCGTGGGCGTGCTTGTAGCGGGGATGGGGTGTGAGGAATGGTCCCACTCTCCGGTCCACGCAGTGCAGGACCCTGGCACACTCGGGAGCGCCCTCCCTCGCAGAACCGACGCCTTGCAGCCCCTCTGGCATGCGATTTGCACGGCCAGTGGTTCAGCGGGCCACCTGCTGGCTTTGAAGGGCGGCTCCTGATGCCGCCGTGAGACCTAAGGAGGCCGTTAGTTTGATCCTGGCATCAGAACCATTCAGCCTTGCGAACAGTGTGGCGTGGAGGGAGAGCAGCATGTCACCTCTTACCCACCACCCTTTGGTGGCGCCCAGGCCTTTTTCCTTCTCAGAGTTTTGGACTTGGGGAACGGAAAGGAGACCGTATCAGACCATGACAGCTTTTCTAAGAGCGATTATACTTCTCTCCCCTGCCCCACCCAAATGATGGGGCTTCTTTCCCATCAGCTTCGCTTCGCTGGGCCTTTCCGTATGAGTGAGTCATTAATGCATTTTCTACTGAAGTGAAAACCCGATAGGCACACAGTATGTGTGGTATTTTATCTAAGAAGGGGCAGGGGCAATGAGATTATGCATGGGTATTTTCTTACATTAAAAAGTAACATGAAATGGTTACCAACCAGGGTCAGGAGAGTTAGGAGTAGACACTAGATTTCTTTACATGTGCTTGTGCATTTGGCTATGGGACTGTGTAATTATAAAAACCAAAAATAAGTCAAAATAGAAAAACAAATGCCTAAAAACTGGTAACAAAATGAAACAAGTGAACACAACTGTATGTCAGGTTGGTAGCTTAACCATACAGAAAAGGACAATTTCAAGTGACTTTCAAACCTCAAACTAGTTTGTCCATACCTAGTGGACTATATCCTTAAGGGCAAGCACTGCAAAGAAATCTTAAGTTGTTGAAGTAATACTGGTCTTAGTAATAATATTGATATTCTGGAATTATATACAGTGGGATAAAGCAAGTAAACAGCATGGTGATATTAGGAGCCAATATTTTCAGCTTGAGAGAAGAGATACAATATAAAATAAGTAAAAATACTGTAGCCTGCATTTGGATGGGAAATATTAATATGAATATGATTTTTTTCTTTTAAAAGGTATTTCTTAGCTCTGTCTACTGAAAAGGTCTAGAGCTGTCTACTATGGTAGCCACTGGAAACATATGTCTATTTAAATTTAAGTTAATTCAGATTAAATACCTGAACAAATATTTCTACACCAATGTTCACAGCAGCATGAATCAAAAGGTGGAAACAACCCAAATGTCCATCAGTGGATGAATAGATGAATAAAATGTAGTATATACACATAATGGGATATTTTTCAGCCTTAGAAAGAAATAAAATTCTGACATATCACAACATGGATGAACCTGGAGGACACCGTGCTCAGTGAAATAAGTCAGACACACAAAAAACAAATGCCATCTGATCCCAATCGTATGAGGTCCCTAGAGGAGTTGGAGCCATAGAGACAGAAAGTAGAGTGGTGGATTCCAGGGACTGGGGAGGGGATGGGGAGCTCGTGTTTAATAGGGACAGAATTACAGTTTGGGAAGATGGGAATGTTCTGGAGAGGGAAGGAGGTGACGGTTGTACAACAACGTGAATGTACTTAAATTGCTGAATTGTAAACTTATAAGTGGTTAAAATGGCAAAATTTATACTTTACCATAATAAAAGCATTTTAATTAAATCAAACTATAATTCCATTCCTCAGTCACAGGAGCCACATTTCAAGTCTTCAGTAGCACCAGGTGGCTCGTAGCGTGGCTATAAAAGGTGGCCATCGTTCTCCTGGACTTTACTGGTCCAAAAACAATCACCAATCCAGTAGCCATAAGCATTTTTAGCACCCAGATTGTCGTCCCTATGTGCCATTTCCCACTAAAGGAAACCAGAGCTTCTTAGAAAATGACTGATTTCAGATCTGAGGCAGAAAACATACAAGATGATCCTGGAGCATCTTATCAACAGAAAGCAAGAAAATAATCCAAGATTCTAGTGTGCCGGGGGTTCATTAGCCAATTTGGAGGGGCCCCCACTGGCCAAAATAAGGACGATTTGAGTATCAAAAAAAAAAAAAGGTGACTATATGGCAAGCATTTTTTAATGTTTTGTAGTATATATAACTGTCATCTCCCTATGTACACCTGAAAGCAATATAATATTGTATATCAACTATACTTCAATTTAAAAATCATAGAAAATTACAACAGACTGAAGCACATCAAATGTGTTAATATCCATTAGTTCACTTTTAAAATAAAATCCTCATTGGTCACCTTTGAAGGATACTAGGATACCAAGTTACCGTTCTGACAGCAGCCAGGCAGGGGCACCACACTTGCCTCCCTTCAGGAAAGGGCTTGCCCGTGGCTCCCCACCAGCCTCCAGCTGCCCTGCTGTCATGCATCAGTGTTTATGCTGCACCCGCCCTCTTCTGGGTAGCCCCTAGCCGACCAGTGAGCGTGGCGTTACCATATCCACCGGCCTAGGGCTCCTCTAATGGACAGTCTCTGCTCCAGAGTCCCTCCACTCCCCTCTTGGGCCGGCACTTGGTCAGGCTTCGTCAGAGACAGGTTCTCCTCGCCTAGTTCCGCTTCCTTGCCCTTGGTCTTTTGTAGGCATGAGTCCAGTTTTTGCATTCCGAATGCCATCTCATGGTCTGCTTGCTGGAGGGTCCAAATTGACTCCACTGGCACCAGGAATGGTCTGAGAAAGCAGATGGTAAGATGGGGACTTGTAATTGGGTCCCTCACTGCCCAGCAAAGAGGAGCCCATCCTAGGTAGTATGTGGATGTCTTGAACAAGGTGGCCACTCACTAATAAAGTTTTCACTGATAATAAGTTGGATGAATGGTGACTGGTACAATGATTGAGAAAGATGTGCGTTTGGGAGGGTGAAAGAGAGGCATACAAGAACAGTACAATGATCTGGCTGTTACTGACTTGCATTGACCCCCTACAGAGGGGTATGGAAAATTGGAAACAGTTAACAAGCAATTGAAACTAAATGTATTGACACCAAAAACAAAGGCAATGAAAACAAACAAATGCAGCCACATCAAACTAAAAAGTTTCTGCACAGAAAAGGAAACATCAACAAAATGAAAAGGCAACCTACTGAATGGGAGGAGATATTTGCAAATCATATATCTGATAAGGGACTAATATCCAAAGTATATAAAGAGCTCATACAACTCAACAGCCAAAAAAGAAACAATCCGACCTGAAAATGGGCAAAGGATCTGAACAGACCTTTTTTCAGAGAAGACGTACAGATGGCCAAAAGGTACATGAAAAGATGCTCACCATCACTAATCAATAGGGAAATGCAAATCAAAACCAGAATGAGCTATCACCTCACACCTGTTACAATGGCCACTATCCAAAACACAAGAAATAATAAAAATTGGTGAGGGCATGGAGAAAAGGGCATGCTCTTGTGCACTTTTAGTGGGCATGTAAATTAGTGCAGCCATTACGGAAAGCAGTATGGAGAGGTTCCTTAAGAAATTAAAACTGCAGCTACCTTGTAGCTATAATATATAAAGAGTCATTACAAATCAATAATAGGGAACCAACAATCTCATTTAAAAATACAAAAGATTTTAACAAATAAATAAGCAAATAAAAAGATGTTTAGTGTCATTAAGAAAATGCACATTAAATCCAAAAGGCAATGTCTCTAGCTACAAGAATGGCCAGAATTCAAGATTTATAACCAAGTGTTGATGAGGAGATGGAGCAGCTTAAAATCTCATCCATCAAAGGTGGGAATACAAAACGGAACCGCCGCATCGGCAAACAGATCAGAGCTCCTTATAAACATTCGCTCTCCTTACAATTCCATAAACCCACATCTTTTTATTCAAAGGAAATTTTATTTTTATTCAAAGGGTATTTATTCAAAGGAAAGGAAATGTGTTTCCTCACAAAGACTGTGCTTGGGCGTTCAAAGCCTGCCGGGAGCCATGCTGCTCAAGCTGTGTAGCCAAGCTCAGGCTGGAGAAGACCCCCACAAAGCAGGGGCCTTTACAGCTGGCTCCCCCTATTACCCACCTTGATTTTGGTTTTTTTCCATTATACTATCGGCTTTGCTTTTGCCTGCGTTTTTGCCAAGGGCTAAGCTAACCGGAAAGGAGGAGAACATAAACTTCCCGGAAGCTTTTCAGGACAGTGGTCCTGAAGAATAGAACACGCAGGGGCCAGATGGCAATCTTGGCATAGAATACCAAAACCTACAGTTAGTTAGTCAAACACTGACCACCCCATCTCCACCTAAGTGGGAATGCCCCCCATCTTTTTTATTTTTTAATGCTAGTGAAATTAATGATGTAGAGTTTTATAGGAAAATTCGAGAAATAGAGTTATAGGGGAATACTGAAGAGAATAACCTTGACACTTAATCAATCTTCTCATGTTTTCTTCTATTTGCTACTTCTATAGCTTTTTTTCTTCCTTCCTAATTACAGCCCTTTACTAGAATTTGTGCCTATACGTGAAATTACCAAATACCATAATTTTCCAAGAAGTAAAGATACCTCAAGACAAGTGC